TTGAATAACGATTCGATCATGGTCCAGGTAAGTTTATGTCAGCGCGTTGGGTGTGGCGAATATCGGGTGCTAATTGTGCTGTAGCGCCAAGTTAAGGAGGGCATAGATGCGGTCATTGTCGATAACGTCCTAGCAATACGCAAGGGCCTTACGAGCAACGAGACGGAAGCCCATGTGTCGGGTGAGGCCACTGCTGACCCCGCCGCGGCATGAGCGGGGTTCGAAAAGTATATATTCGGCAAACAGTACGATGGGACGGGGATACGTATCCTTACAGAGACGATGGCTGGTTAGCCTTCAACACCGGAACAAAAGGGCGGCATCAACTCGCCCCGGATACGACTAACGAGAAAAAACGGGTGTGGTAGACACTCTCGTCATTGCGGCGACCATTTTGCTTTTTGTTTTCCTAGTTGTGATGGACCTCAATCCGGGCGAATCGACGCCACAGGGGCCGTCGTTGCTCGAGAGTCGAGAGCACATGATGCAGTCAAGGCTTGCTTGCTCAGACAGACAGACGTTCGCTTCATTGACGGTCTTTGGTGGACTTGGGACTCGCGTGACATGAGTGACGGTGCCAAGCTGTTGCTGTCGATAAAGTGCCGACAAGAGTGACACGGGATCGCCATCAAGCATGAAACCCGCATGCGCAGAGGGGTCACAAGGTTTTGACCCGTCTTGAGGTGACGTCCGCAGGTTTGATTCAGCCCTCGCGGCCTTGTCCTGTTTCTAGCCACCAGTTGCCTGTGAATTTGTGTCTCGATGAACCATGGCTGACACAAAATGCTAGGGGAAGACAGCAACCTAACGAGGATCCCGTACAGAAGTGCACCATCAAGGGCATTCCTTGGTAGTCTCTCTGCTCGGAGCGTGCCATAGCCGCCAGCAGCGCTACCTTTGTTCCGTTCACACCTTGATTGCCTCCCAGCTGTAATGCTGTAACACATTCGGATCCTGACTGCTCCAAGATTCAGCGTCGAACGTTCTCGGACGCCACATTAAGCTCATGTGAGTGTCATTATCTTTGGAGAGTGTGCCCATGTACAAGTGCAAGTTCGTAGCTCGTGAGTCGCCGTATTCTCGACAGTGCTCTAGATGCCAAGCGGCAGACGCAGAGCCTGTCTGGCTGGGACGGGTTTGAGTGAAAGGTCTCTCACGCCTCCCCTCTTTGTAGATGTGAACTTGTTTCCACGCTGTTGACCTGCCATTGTCAGCGGGACGAGATACACTGTCGACACTCGGAAAATAATGATTTTGCCCAATTCAAAACGTCGTTATATTTTAGTATGGCAACAAGTGGGCAACAAGTGGCTACAATACAACAATGTTTCGACGCTGCTTCTCTGGCATATTAGATCATGCTAATTCTATGCTCATCTTTTTCCATCAATCAAGTCTGTACGGTCTACCAGATCCTCATTCTGCAATCCTTCTTGCACATTCATTGCAGCTGTATGTGTCGCCTTCAATCTCTCCCTCTCTCACGGGTGGTGCCAGATCTCCCTGCTCTTGCTTTCTGTCACTCCGACGCACGAGAGCGGATTGCGTACTTGTTCGTCCGTCGACCTTCGCAGATAACTTTCGCTGGTATGAGGCACTGGTAGGCAGCGCAAGAGACTAGGTAGGCCCCTACTGGACCACGACACGGGCTGAGCTTCTCGTCTTCGCCTAGAATATCTCTGACTCTCCTGCAACGAATCACCACAGATAGATAGGACACTAGTCGCGGAAATCTGGCAGCTGCGGATGAGTCTGGAGCACATGTGCGCTCGTCGCGTCATTCTATGGCTCACAAACACCGTGGTCGTCCTCTAGGAGACATTCCAGTCCTTCGACACGCCTCTGAGGGTTACGAACGATAAAATATGCTTTCACGAGCTACTTGCCAAAGCTAGCTTGCGACGGCAAGAGGTACAGATCCAACTCGGAGAAAGGGAGAGTGGCCTGCCTTCAGAACAACTGTAACGCTCAAGCCCAGGAAGCATATTGGCATGGTGCCTAGATGCTCAAGCAGAGTCTTACTTTGGGCATCGAACAATTGGTTGAGGTCTGGGAACACAACTCTTCGCTCTAAAGAATACAGCTCTGCTACCGCCGGCTTTCGTTGATAGCCCGATTTTGTATGAGGACCATGCCAGTCTACCTACGATGGTACGCGTATCCTTCTTAACCATCTACGCCTAGAATCCTATGGAGGATGACACGGGGTTTGGCAGCCGACGCCTGGCAGACCATGCAACTGAGTATCCAGATGCATGGAGCAGCCACATGACGAGCCGCAGACTCCTACAACAACATGTAGTATCTTGTATAAATCTCCAACGCCGAGCTTAAGGGGCCCTGATTTTCGACCGGCAACTCTGTTCAAAACGCATTGGTTTTTCTGCTCGACCTCGACTTGATATCAAAATCACAGGAAGCCGGCAGAAGTTGGGGTTTGATGAGGTCGCCCTCGAGCTGTCCATGATGAAAGAGGTTGAGCTCGACTGGCTATTTGCTCGGTACTGTTCACGGTATGCAAGGCTCGGTCTTCGATATCGAGTTCAAAGGCTTTTTCGGGAGGCAATGTCGGTCACGGCTCGGCTTCGAAGGTGTCTCTCTTTGAGGCCATGCCGCCTAGGCGGCATGTTGCCCTCAAGTCAAGGCTTGAGAAGGATGTCGAGGCTGGAAAGGGGGGAGACGATATCACTGCAGATGTTTCGCGGCGTCAACGTCGAGGAAAGCTCAGTTCTTTCCGCAACGATCTCGGCCTCTCAAGCCCAGCCCTGTTTACCTCGACACTGAAGTCTGACTCTGTTCCACCGGCACGATGCCTCGGGTGTCGGTGTCGCCGCCAGGCTCGAGTCAGTCTTCAAGGCAGACACGATGGGCTCGAGCTTGACACGGAGTCCCCTGGAGCAAGGGCTGCATGTCTGTCACTATGACCATGATCAGAGCCAACGGTGGCGACCATGTCTCGCCCTCCTTCTTACAGTCTCGAATCCCACCACC